TACCATAATATGACCAAATTTAAATCTTGACAGTTCTTCAGCCTTCAATGTAATGTAGACCCTCTGATCAATGGCTGACTCGTATCATCGCACAGTGGTTCTATCTATACACCAACCTAGCTTCAAGATCCTCTCCACCATTGATAGAATTCTCTTGCTGTCAAAAGGAACTGTTGTGCACCATGGTACACTTTCTTCACTTGAAGCTTTTTTACTGTCCAAGGGCTTCACAGTCCCTCCACAGCTTAATGCTTTGGAATATACCATGGAAATACTAAACTAGCTCAATAAGAGTAAACCCATTGGACCACAATCACATCCTTCACTACCCAATGATTCTACAACTTCTCTTATTGATAGTGACAAAAGACAGATCAAATATAAGAGTTCAAGGGTTAATGAAATTGTCACTCTCTACAACAGGTTTTGGAAGATCATCTACAGAATAAAACAGCTACTACTGACAAACACATTGCAAGCTCTTGGGGTCATTTCCTACCGTAAAAACTCCATCTTCCTCACTCTCCTGAATGAGGGCATCACTAGCAAATCAGAATTTTCTCTGGCAAATCAGAATTTTCTCCAGTTTCATCCGAACTACAAACAGACTCTTCAGGAAGCAATGACTCGGGATCTAATAACAAGCTTGCTGTTTCCGTGACCAGTTTGAGCCACGTGATTTCGACGTGGTTGGCGATTCCAGAGTTGTCACACATTGGATTACTTAAGCTTAGTGTAAGTGAAATCGCTGGAGACATTTCTTTCATCAAACCCCCTCTCTGTATAGTGCTAACAAACTAACAAGTACCCCCAAACTCCCAGTAGTATGACAAGTTCACGGTTCGTTCTACTAGGCAGATATCGACAAGGATTCACCTACAAAAACATTGTTACGACTTCTCTATCTCCTAACAGTAATCAACTTGGGACAAGACTTGCAGGTTTCCCAAACACCCCCTTCGTTGCAGACAACCGCAATGAACCACCATTTTTTGGTCAAGGACTCAAAAATACAAAGTAAATCAAGAGAAAATTAGAGGTGGGAATAACCTAAAGATTAGATGAGCAAAATGCAATGCCTGATTTTGAAAATTATAAAAATAAAAGAAAATAAACACAAAGTAAAAGCACTGAAAACAAATTAAAGGTGGGAATAAGGCCAAGATGAGCAAAATGAAAAAGGGTTATCAGACCCTTTTAGGACAAGGACTCAAAAACACAAAGCACACGAAGAGAAAATTAGAGGTGGGTACAAGCTAAAAAAGATGAGCAATTTTGAAAAAACAAACAAATTAAAAGAAACACAAAGTAAAATCACAGAGAGAAGCAAATTGAAGGTGGGAATTAGGGGAAGATGAGAAAAATGAAAAAGGGTAATCAGATCTGGTGGGGGAACAATGGATCTAAAGTCTAACCTTCCATATATAGAAATTTCAAGCCTGGGAAGAATTGAGTTTCTCCAAGGTACTAGCAATTCCCAAATTCTTCTTTTCTAGAAAAGACCAACCAGAGAATACCTAAATCCCATCCTCCACCACTAACCCTTAAATAAACGCATACATATGAAACAGCCAACACCACCAAACCCTTATCCATAATCTCAAGAAGGAAATAGATAGAGGGTCATGAGAAAGAACCTAGGAAAAGGGAGACTAATCCCAAGAATCACAAGGAAACCCTGAAAAGGTCACCTTTTCAGTTTTCAACTCACATAAATCTTGGGTTTCGTGGATTTGAGGCAACCCATCTCAGCCTCTTGAAATATGAGTCACCTTCAACTTTTCTTTTCTTTCTTTCTTTCTTCTCCCAACAAACACAAACCCAACAATCAATTACATATATACACATAGAAGAATAAACCCATATGGGATTTGGTACTCTTATATCTAGTCTTTAAGTCTCTCAAAAACAATTAAAAAATTCACAAATAACTGAAGAAAACAGTTGAAAACTGCTTACCAATTGAAATACCCAACAGCTGAATCCTCCAAATATGGCCAGTAATGCCTGTTTCCTAGATTTTTTTCCCTTGCTGTGCTTGGTCCCTTGTGGATGTGAGATGTGTGTGTGAGAGAGAGAAAGTTGAGAGGGAATGCTTTTATTGTTTGGGTGTACACCTTTCGTGTGACACGTGTAGATTCAATTATCTAACTTCAATCAATACCCTAGGCTCAAAATGCTAAAGCACGGGGTAGTTAGATCACCAGAAGTCTTTCCCATCAGATAAACTTCAAGAAGGGACACGTGTTAGTTTTTTTTTTTTTTTTAACCATTTATTTTTGGAATTTACATATTTTATGAAATTGTGTTCTTAAAATAATGTTTTCAAAATATCAACGAGCTAATTCAATTAGACATCTACAGAATAAATGTGTCTGGATCACTCCAGACCTTTCTCTCTATGCATTCTAGCATATTAAGCTTGCAAACATTATCATGAAGAAAAAGAAATAGAAAAGCCTACATGTATTGCCACCATAAAAAAAAAATTTAAAAAGAAGGGTGGTGACAGAATATACCTTTTCAAGGTATAATTTGTCATATCTACTTCTTCTTCTTCTTCTTTTCTTTCTTTGATATGTGAACCTGCATTTGATAAGAACAAATAACATGAATAAAATGTCATATTGAAAATTTCATAATTAACTATTTACTCACTTCCTCGGACGAACGATGGCAATTGAACGAGAAGGTGTATGCATGGGATTGTTGTTGTGAATGCACATGTGTAGCAGCTGGTGCAACAGGCTCACCCATGGCCTGTTGAGACTCCAATTAATCTATTCGTGCTTGTTGAGCTTGGATTGTGCTTTGCATCTCCATTTGTACTTTCTGTTGATTAAGCATAGCATCCATCATCTCCTTCATTTGCATCTCCATTTGTGCTTTATATTGGTTAAGTTGCTCTTGGACTTGCATTTAGATGATACGAGTTTGTTCTTGTGATTGCCTGTATCCGCCTCCAAAGACATCAGTCAGAGAAGGACCCAATCCATATGTTCGAACACGACCAGGTCGCTTAGGCCCTAGAACTTGTGTGATAATCTCTTCATCTGTAGCATTGGATTGCGCCCCAAGCTCCTTTATTTGTGTCTGCGATTGTTAATTAGTTAATTAGCCACTAATAAAATTCAACCTATAAGCAAGACATAATAACGACCACTTAACTGCCATGACAACATCTAAAGACTAAAACGGAGTAGCATAGAAATGAAAACCATAAAATCATTGAGGTCCTAAAGCTGTCTCTGGTGTGTTTTTTTCTTTTCTTTTCTTTTTCTCTCTTTAAAGTGTTAAATAAGCTTCTCTCTTTCAAAATTCTCAGTTTGTCAAACGGCAAGCTCGAAGCATTTCTCAAAAGCAACCAAAGTAAAAAGGAAAACTTAATTGGGGCACTGCTTACAACCAAGTATATACCTCAAATGAAATATCTTCTCACAAGATTCAATTAATAAGATAAGGACATTAAGCCAAGAAAGACAGAACGTGTTTGTCATTTAATAATGAAAGGAACTGAAGCATATGTATATGTCTCCATACTCACACATGAAGGGCATCAATTGAATCATAGGGCATTTTTAGCAAGGTCGATAGTTATCCAACAACAAAACATGTGAAGGATGCTAAAATTTCATATAAAAGGTACTAACTTGATGATAAAAATCAGCAACAATTGAGATTCCCAGAAACCACAATTACAGGAAAACCACAATTACAGGAAAGTGTTTTATACCTTAATCTAAAAGATAGGAACTAGAAAATGCATTAAGTATACATGAGTCGTAACTTAAAAGTAGGGATTGAATGTATATTACCACACCCCAGAAAACTTGTAACTCATAAAATATCCTTAGATGGGTACTTATGATGACCTCATCCTAGGTCTACGGCTTATTTATGGAATAACTTCTTGCTTTGCTAAGCTGAAATTGAATACAAATGGCTGCTATCGTGGGAACCAAGGCTGATGGGTACCATGTAGGATCATGAGTTCTATGTTATGTTGCTAGTTCTATGTTATAATAATGGTGCTACATACCATGACGTCAGCAACTTTATCATTACTTGGTTTGTTATCCTTCGAGTACCCAGCCATCCACACCTCTAAGCGAGTAGCAGGAACTCCATTCTTCTTATTTGTTTCCTACAATTACACTAAAAATTAAGTAACAAAATCAAAATATACAATTTCAATTTGAAATATAAAGAAACTATATACCTCCACTCGAACAACTGAGAATGGTTTTCTGCCAGTTATGTGATTTAATGTCTTCTTCTTCCGAATTTCTTTGTTTTTTGTACTTTTTTTCTATTACATATGAACACAAACACAAGATAATTTATTAATTAACAAAATCATCTTATGAGATTACAATAGAGTTCAATAAACAATTTAACACTAATCCCATGTAAAAGTACAATTTAAAATTAAATGATACATGTGCTTTCCGAGTGCCCCAATAATAAACTAAGCTCCGCCATTGATGCTCGTGTACTCTTTCAGGTTGATGAGTTAACCTATCAGCATCATTGTTGAATGGCGTATATCTCATTTGTTTAACTTTAGCCTTCCACTCTCTCCATTTTTTTCCAACAGATGCCAAAACAAATTTCTTCATTGACTCGTCAGCATCTGTATTGACCTGCAAATAATTGGCAACTTTATGACTATTGCATACACACAGCAGTAACAACATACACGCAGCAGAATACACAAGGCATAATATAAAGAACAACATACACACAGCAACAACTTTAACTATTAAGTACTCAACAGCAGCATACACACAGCAGCAACTTTATACCATAATATAAAAAAAGATCAATTGACATGCCTGATCATAATCATAAATAAAATGTTCTAAAGAGAATAATAAAGAGAATTTCATCAATATTCCATTCAAAACAAGTCCATATTCTCTCTTTATTTTCATGGTGAACAATGAAGAAAAGACATGCCCAAAATAAGAAATGAAATAATTCTTTTACCTTTACTTCTCTCTAAATTCTCTCTTTGTTTTCCTTTGGTACATGACTCCAAGTTCTATAAGTGAGGGGCATAAGGTTCCCATCTCGAGCTAAAACACCCAAACGAGAAGCCAAGGGTATATACCCGTCAACCACTTGGTTCAACTCATTAGGCACAATATGTAAAATGCCACCACTTGGGTTCCAATCACTACCATGCATGAGTGTTGGGCCTCTCGAACTATGACCTACTCATCCAAATATTAATATCAAGTTAGAAGATACTAGAAAGAATGATAATACAAGAATTGAGCAGACAATGGAGCAAATGGAGTAGTGTCACTTAGTTTAAAAAAAAAGAAATATAAACATCAAAAGAAAAAAGAACATCAACAGAGAAATCTAATGGAGTAATTCAATTGAATAAAATAATTCATACCAGCAGTAGTGTCATGTGTTGAACCAGTACTCGATGATGTACTAGGCAAGCTACCTAGAGGATACCATGACATGGGTGGATCAGGTATGATGCGTGTACTCTCCTCTGAACTCTCATCTGAACTTCCACTATAAGAACTCTCCTCTGCACTCCCACTGTAAGAACTCTCAGAATTTGCAGAGGCTGAATGTTGCCTCTGCCTAGAGCACGGTCGATCTGTCATGCTAGTTTATAGAAGACCACAAGCATACGTGTAGAATTTTATGGGTTAACAATGAATATAAAGTCCAAAATATTAAAAAATTTCTCTACAAATTTAAATTTTAAACACAATCTTAATATAACAGATATGATCTTTCTCAAGGACATAAAAGGTTGTCTCAAGGACAATCACGTTGAAAAGCAAACAAATGACGCATTTTAAAAGCAAAGGTTTCATTAACATGAATATCCATGCTAAAAGCACAAATGTAACAATGAATATGAAACAAAATTACAAAATCATATCATTTCTTCATCATCTTCAGATTGTGTCTGTGTCGATATCCCAAGAGGTCCAATAGTTTCATCAATAGTTGTTCCAACTTCACCTTGCCTAACCCAATTTATGTCCTCTTCACAAGCAAACGAAGTTGCATCTAATTCTTGGTCGCCAAATCCTTCCACTTCATTGTGATGTTCTCCATCATTAATTGGTTGTTCTCCACACACCTCATACAAGTCTCTAGGTTTCATCCTGACTACAACATCCCAATCAGCTTCAACGGGATCATTAACATAGAAAACTTGTTGTGCCTGAGATGCTAGGATGAATGGCTCATCACTATTTTGTTTCTTTGTATATAACAAATGATTGAAATTAACAAGTGTGAAACCAAACCCATCCTGCTTCAATCCTTTGTTGTTGTCAATCCAGTCGCACATGAATAGCACATATCTACGGTCGTATGAGTAATACAATTCAATAATATCTGTCACATATCCATAGTATGCTACTTCACCTTCCACAGGATTCATGTCTCTGGTACTTGCATAGCTACAAGTCTTTGCTTTCACCATAACCCCACTATTTTGAGTTTTTCTTCTCCACTCACGACTCCTCGTATGATACCTAGTACCATTAATTATATACCCATTGAATCTCGTGGCCTTTTTACTAGGTCCCAATGCCAAAGTTTTAATCTCATCTGACAACACAGCATTTTCAATAGCTAGAAGCTCTTCAACCTATTTTTACAAAGTCAACAAAATTAAACATCAACTAACAGAGAATTAAAAATTGAAAACATGAGAATTGAAAATTAAAAACATGTAAGTTATTAGTACTTACATGAGAATTAAACCATCTGGGAAACTCATCATTGTGACGGCGATCCACATCAAAATCTTTAAGACGACGATGTGACCGCTTAATAAAATCACGATGCTCCCTATACATTTAAAGTACCTATAAAATGCAAGATACTTATTAATGGTATCAATAAAATTTTGAAACAAAGATTGTATCTTACTCTCGATATGGGACAACCGCAGCAGTGTTAAATAACACATACCGATGAGCTTGTACCCATGATGTGTTATCAAGCGCAAACCCTTTTCCTTTTCCTAAAGCATGACCCAGTAATATCCCAGGATTGTCGCTAACATCGTAATTCCTTATTGGTCGATTCAATTTTGACTCAATCATTGAGGTCCTAAAGCTGTCTCTGGTGTGTTTTTTTCTTTTCTTTTCTTTTTCTCTCTTTAAAGTGTTAAATAAGCTTCTCTCTTTCAAAATTCTCAGTTTGTCAAACGGCAAGCTCGAAGCATTTCTCAAAAGCAACCAAAGTAAAAAGGAAAACTTAATTGGGGCACTGCTTACAACCAAGTATATACCTCAAATGAAATATCTTCTCACAAGATTCAATTAATAAGATAAGGACATTAAGCCAAGAAAGACAGAACGTGTTTGTCATTTAATAATGAAAGGAACTGAAGCATATGTATATGTCTCCATACTCACACATGAAGGGCATCAATTGAATCATAGGGCATTTTTAGCAAGGTCGATAGTTATCCAACAACAAAACATGTGAAGGATGCTAAAATTTCATATAAAAGGTACTAACTTGATGATAAAAATCAGCAACAATTGAGATTCCCAGAAACCACAATTACAGGAAAACCACAATTACAGGAAAGTGTTTTATACCTTAATCTAAAAGATAGGAACTAGAAAATGCATTAAGTATACATGAGTCGTAACTTAAAAGTAGGGATTGAATGTATATTACCACACCCCAGAAAACTTGTAACTCATAAAATATCCTTAGATGGGTACTTATGATGACCTCATCCTAGGTCTACGGCTTATTTATGGAATAACTTCTTGCTTTGCTAAGCTGAAATTGAATACAAATGGCTGCTATCGTGGGAACCAAGGCTGATGGGTACCATGTAGGATCATGAGTTCTATGTTATGTTGCTAGTTCTATGTTATAATAATGGTGCTACATACCATGACGTCAGCAACTTTATCATTACTTGGTTTGTTATCCTTCGAGTACCCAGCCATCCACACCTCTAAGCGAGTAGCAGGAACTCCATTCTTCTTATTTGTTTCCTACAATTACACTAAAAATTAAGTAACAAAATCAAAATATACAATTTCAATTTGAAATATAAAGAAACTATATACCTCCACTCGAACAACTGAGAATGGTTTTCTGCCGGTTATGTGATTTAATGTCTTCTTCTTCCGAATTTCTTTGTTTTTTGTACTTTTTTTCTATTACATATGAACACAAACACAAGATAATTTATTAACTAACAAACTCATCTTATGAGATTACAATAGAGTTCAATAAACAATTTAACACTAATCCCATGTAAAAGTACAATTTAAAATTAAATGATACATGTGCTTTCCGAGTGCCCCAATAATAAACTAAGCTCCGCCATTGATGCTCGTGTACTCTTTCAGGTTGATGAGTTAACCTATCAGCATCATTGTCGAATGGCGTATATCCCATTTGTTTAACTCTAGCCTTCCACTCTCTCCATTTTTTTCCAACAGATGCCAAAACAAATTTCTTCATTGACTCGTCAGCATCTGTATTGACCTGCAAATAATTGGCAACTTTATGACTATTGCATACACACAGCAGTAACAACATACACGCAGCAGAATACACAAGGCATAATATAAAGAACAACATACACACAGCAACAACTTTAACTATTAAGTACTCAACAGCAGCATACACACAGCAGCAACTTTATACCATAATATAAAAAAAGATCAATTGACATGCCTGATCATAATCATAAATAAAATGTTCTAAAGAGAATAATAAAGAGAATTTCATCAATATTCCATTCAAAACAAGTCCATATTCTCTCTTTATTTTCATGGTGAACAATGAAGAAAAGACATGCCCAAAATAAGAAATGAAATAATTCTTTTACCTTTACTTCTCTCTAAATTCTCTCTTTGTTTTCCTTTGGTACATGACTCCAAGTTCTATAAGTGAGGGGCATAAGGTTCCCATCTCGAGTTAAGACACCCAAACGAGAAGCCAAGGGTGTATACCCATCAACCACTTGGTTCAACTCATTAGGAATAGTATGTAAAATGCCACCACTTGGGTTCCAATCACTACTGTGCATGAGTGTTGGGCCTCTCGAACTGCGACCTACTCATCCAAATATCAATATCAAGTTAGAAGATACTAGAAAGAATGATAAAAATTGACTTAAATGATGTGTGTGCAAGTTGTCTATCAACTGTAAATGTAGTTTGCTGGTATTTCATTGTTTATTTTGTTTACTGACTTAAATGTAATTGAGTTACTAATTAAACAAGAAAGCAAAGATTAAAAACACTTAGTTTAAAAAAAAAGAAATGTAAAACATTAAAAGAAAAAAGAACATAAATAGAGAAATAATTCATACCAGCGGTAATGTCATGTGTTGAACCAGTACTCGATGATGTACTAGGCAAGCTACCTAGAGGATACCATGACATGGGTGGATCAAGTATGATGCGTGTACTCTCCTCTGAACTCTCATCTGAACTCCCACTATAAGAACTCTCATCTGCACTCCCACTATAAGAACTCTCAGAATTTGCAGAGGCTGAATGTTGCCTCTGCCTAGAGCACGGTCGATCTGTCATGCTAGTTTATAGAAGACCACAAGCATACGTGTAGAATTTTATGGGTTAGCAATGAATATAAAGTACAATAGATACAATAATGAATACAAAAACAAAGATTTTATTAACAAAGCAAACAAATGACGCATTATAAAAGCAAAGGTTTCATTAACATGAATATCCATACTGAAAGCACAAATGTAACAATGAATATGACACAAAATTGCAATATCATATCATTTCTTCATCATCTTTAGATTGTGTTTGTGTCGATATCCCAAGAGGTCCAATAGTTTCATCAATAGTTGTTCCAATTTCACATTGCCTAACCCAATTTATGTCATCTTCACAAGAAAACAAAGTTGTGTCTAACTCTTGGTCGCCAAATCCTTCCACTTCATTGTGATGTACTCCATCATTAATTGGTTGTTCTCCACACACCTCATACAAGTCTCTAGGTTTCATCTTAACTACAACATCCCAATCAGCTTCAACGGGATCATTATAATAGAAAACTTGTTGTGCCTGAGATGCTAGGATGAATGGCTCATCGCTATTTTGTTTCTTTGTATATAACGAATGATTGAAATTAACGAGTGTGAAACCAAACCCATCCTGCTTCAGTCCTTTGTTGTTGTCAATCCAGTCGCACATGAATAACACATATCTATGGTCGTATGAGTAATACAATTCAATAATGTCTGTCACATATCCATAGTATGCTACTTCACCTTCCACAGGATTCATGTCTCTGGTACTTGTATAGCTACAAGTCTTTGCTTTCACCATAACCCCACTATTTTGAGTTTTTCTTCTCCACTCACGACTCCTCGTATGATACCTAGTACCATTAATTATATACCCACTGAATCTCGTGGCCTTTTTACTAGGTCCCAATGCGAAAGTTTTAATCTCATCTGACAACACAGCATTTTGAATAGTTAGAAGCTCTTCAACCTATTTTTACAAAGTCAACAAAATTAAACATCAACTAATAGAGAATTAAAAATTGAAAACATGAGAATTGAAAATTAGAAACATGTAAGTTATTAGTACTTACATGAGAATTAAACCTTCTGGGAAACTCATCATTGTGACGATGAACCACATCAAAATCTTTGAGACGACGATGTGACCGCTTAATAAAATCACGATGCTCCCTATACATTTAAAGTACTTATAAAATGCAAGATACTTATTAATGGTATCAATAAAATTTTGGAATAAAGATTGTATCTTACTCTCGATATGGGACAACCGTAGCAGTGTTAAATAACACATACTGATGAGCTTGTACCCATGATGTGTTATCAAGCGCAAACCCTTCTCCTTTTCCTAAAGCATGACCCAGTAATATCCCAGGATTGTCGCTAACATCGTAATTCCTTATTGGTCGATTCAATTTTGACTCGACATCATCCAAGTACCTTGAGCAAAAGGTCATACACTCTTCAACTAAGTATCCCTCTGCAATTGAACCTTCTGGATGACTTCGATTACGCATATATGACTTAATTGTCATAGGATACCTATAAACAAACAAATGCACACATGACTTTCAATTATAAACAAACAAATGAATACAACTGTAAATTGGAGTAGAATTGCACACCTTTCTATAAAGTACATCCAGCGATATTGCATTGGACCGACAATCTTGGCCTCCTCTGCTAGGTGAATAGGCAAGTGCTCCATTATATTGAAAAATGATGGAGGAAAAATTCTCTCAAGATGACAAAGTGTAAGAGCAATTTGGGATTAAAGACGATCTAACCCATCTGCTCTAGAGTTTTGGAGCACAACTGCCTGAAGAAATTGCTTAACTCAATCAATGGTTCAACAACTTTCTTCGGTAACAAATTTCTCACTGCTATTGGAAGTATTTGTTGCATCAATATATGGTTGTCATGACTTTTCAGTCCAGACATGCTAGGTTGTTTGAGGTTAACACGACGAGAAATATTGGATGCATACCCATCTGGAACTTTGATATTCTTCAAGAGTGTACAAAACAAACCTCTCTCTCTATTGTTCATAGCAAAACATGCAGGCGGCAAATAATACCTGTTCCCAAGCCCTTTTTTAGGATGTAATGCCTTTCGAATTCCCATATCTTGCAAGTCTCGATGAGCATTTAAATTATCCTTTCCTTTCCCATCAACATTTAATATCGTCCACAATACATTATCACACACATTCTTCTCAATGTGCATTACATCAAGATTGTGACGAATCAAATTATGCTCCCAATATGGAAGCTCAAAGAAAATACTCCTCTTCCTCCAATTATGATCCCCCTTATTGTCCTCTTTTTCCTTTCCTTTCCTAGTTCTTTTTTGTCTGTTAGTTGGTTGATGCTTAGGCCCTAGCTGTCGTAACACATTAGCCCCCGATAACCGAGTTGGACATGGTTCAAATGCAAAAGTTCCATCAAACGACGCACCATCTTTTCAAAATTTGTGACTCGCATTCAACCAGTGGCGATGCCCCATGTAACAAATTTTCGTTCCATTCTTTAAATACCGATGTCGAGTATGTATGTTACAACAAGGACAAGCTAAAGCACCTTTTGTGCTCCATCCAGACAAATTTGCATATGCAGGAAAATCATTTATTGTCCACAGTAAGACCACGTGCAATTGGAACATTTGATTAGTTTATGCATCGTATGTCTGAACACCATTTTCCCACAATTCATTCAATTCATCCACTAATAAGCGCAAGTAGACATCAATGTTATTGCCAGGTGAAGAAGGACCATCAATGAGCTATATCATCATCATATGAGGTTGTTTCATGCACAACCACGGTGGCAAATTATAAGGCATCACAATAACTGGCCAACTGCTGTGAGCAACATTCATTGCCTTGAATGGATTAAATCCATCCGTTGCTAAACCTAGTCTGACGTTGCGAGGCTTACTCGCAAACTTGGGATACAAAGTATCAAAAATTTTCCAGGCAGGAGAGTCAGCAGGATGTCTTATTTTGCCGTCATCAATTCGGCCCTCTGCATGCCATCTCATTAATGAAGCAATTTTGGATGACATGACCATTCTTTGAAGCCTTGGAATCAAAGGAAAGTATCTCACAATCTTCTGGGAATTCTTTGTTGCTTCTTTTTATAATCATTCTTCTCACCCTCAAACTGTTTGTATCTAGGTGTCTGACATACTATGCAATCATCCTTACTAGCTGTCTCCTTCCAATACAGTGAGCAATCTCTTGGGCATGCATGTACCTTGTGATAATCGAGGCCTAATTCCCTAAGGAGTGCCCTCGTTGCATGGAACGAATCTGGAAAAGTTTCACCTTTTGGAAATGCATCCTTCAAAAGTTTAAGCAACATCGTGAAAGACTTGTCGCTCCATCCACTAAGGCACTTGATATGCAATAATCGAACAACAAATGAAAGCGTTGAAAACTTGTGACACTTTGGATACAACTCTCTTTCGGCCTCCTTCAATAAACGGAAAAATCTTTCAGTTTTCTTATCCGGGCCTAGTTCGATATTAGAACTTCCTGTCTCATTACTAGCAAGATGAACCAAGCTTGGTAGAGGAAGTCCGAACCCCTCATATATCATTTCATTGACTTCATCACCATCATTCGAATCACTGACATTCTCATTCAATGGCACAGACGCCGATAAATCTTCCCCATGAAAAATCCATCTGGTGTAGCTTGGAATAAACCCATTGACCATTAAATATTCCCCCAAAAGGTCTTTCTTTACTAGTTTGACATTCCGACACCGTTTACATGGACATGTGACTTCATTGGATAGAAGATTATTTTGGCATACAAGTTTAACAAATTCCTTAACCCCTTCTATATATTCTGGATGCAACCTATGCTGATTTATCCAACTTTTATCCATCTGACTTCGTCTTACACTACAAATGTCACTGTCAAATCAACGAAGTTCAAAATTATCATTTCATTTTAATTATTCTTAACCTCAATTAAGTACCTTATAATGCATGCGACATGACACCATTTACCTCTAACTCTTCTCTAATAGGTTGGTTCATCCCACTTTCCCATTCAGGAATGCACAGTCTATATTGTAAAAAGTAGCTCATACCGCTCTATCCATCTCTAACGAAATTTCGGCAGCATCTCCCCATGGTTCTCCAAGTACACTACACAGACTGGGTGTATTGCTACACCTTGTCTAGTATGCACCCGGAGAACATGAGGAGCTACTACACGAAATCTCTACGAGATAGACCATATTTAAGCAGTAGAACTACTAATTACAACATAGACTTGTGCTCCTGAACTGTCCAAACTGGACAGTCCAACAAGAGCCTCATCAAAGATGACTAGGTATCTCTGATGAAGATTCTTGGACGGGTCTACGGCTATTTATGCATGCATGGATAATTACTTGCTAAATTAACAACTGTCATGATTTTTGCATCCCGGTGGTGCAACTTGAATCAACACTATCAAGCATACTAGAAGCATTTCTAGCATGAAGCATACTAATGAAGAAACTAAAAGTTTCTACAATGCTCTTGATAGATTATGATATAGAACTTCATCAAGATGACTGAGTATCTCTAATGAAGATTCTACAAGAACAACCAGATTATCTTGATTGATCACAAAGTAAAAAATTCCATGATTGTAATTGATAGCACATAACAATGGCAAGTACTCGATATTAGGTATGCTTCATTTAGTTTGTTCTTGTACTCACAAGTAAGCAACAAGTTCTCACTACTACATGAACACCCACACATACCAATATATCTTAGTAGTTTTCTATTTCATTTGTATAGCACCATTTTTGTGTCCCTATCAAAGCCCAAAAAGAAAACTGTGCAGACGAGGGTAGATTTCAAATTACTTAACAAAAAATTATGATAAACATTAGAAATTCAAAATCATAATGTTACACAAAAAATATAAGCACAAAAAATATAGACCAAGCACACTTGCCAAATAGATAATTAATTGCAAACATCCAACTAATCTTATACATTGTCACTCAGAGATCATGAGACCATCTACATATGTGTGTGTAACATCTTACCATGCTTATAAAGGTCATCTAATTTGTCCACAAAACTAAATCATGACTGGACAAAAACAAAAAACAAAAAAAAATCTTTCGTGAAATTAACTATTCATTCTTCTCAAAAGAGAAGAAAAACTAAGATTTTAACTCCTAAATTAAAGCATAGCACATGAATCATCTTAATAATGCAATCAGAGATATAATTGTCTTTAAAAGTATTTTACAGCTAACAAATCAAACATGTCCAATATATACTTGAGTGATCTTGACGTAAAAACATCATGAAAAACATAATCACCAAAAATGGAGTAAATAAACTTATGAACTATGAAGTGCCAAGGATGGAAATACAAAAAGGAAGCCACACAATTATGTAATATGTATTTAATTCTACACTACAAAAGAAAGCCTCTCCCCATATGACAAAGGCATTAGATCAAAAAATTTCTTGACTTCAAAACTAGAGTACTTTGTCAATCATCAAACTTACCGGGGTGATTACAGTGCTATAAGCAAAGATTTAACACCCTATAAGCCTCTATAATAGATATGTAAGCCATTATTAGAGCAGAAAAAAATAAGGAAAATGACCAAACAGAATTAGAAGACAGAGAAACCTCCAGACATCCTTCAAGAAAATATTTATGAAGCTTGAGTAAAATCTGAATTTTCCCCTATGAAAGGAAGGCAGAGACTAGCTCACTAGCCAGAATCCTAGCTCCTTTAGAAAGAAAGGCTGTAAATCCCATTCAGCGTCATCAAAATCTGAATAAGCTGTCAGTTTATTAACAAACTAATGCTGCTCAGTGAATTTGTTGGAAAAGGAGCTACAGCGGAGGATAAAGCTTCAAGAAAGTTGATCTGGTCTTTTCATGTGAGGAAAATGTCTATTGACACCACTAAGTTACCCTCTTTTTTTCCTAAAGAATTTTTTCCTGAAGAATTTTTCATCAACCTAATAGAGCCCAAAGAAACATTCCCACTAATGCCCTTGTAAAGGATGGTAAGGGAAATTTCTTTTCCTAAAAATTTTCCTTAGAATTTTTCACCAAAACAGCTCAAGCCTAACCCTAATGATCTTTTAAAGGATTATAAACAACACAGAAAAATTGATGATGCAATAGCATGGTTGGTGAAGCAAAGATTTAACACCCTATAAGCCTCTATAATAGATATGTAAGCCATTATTAGAGCAGACAAAAATAAGGAAAATGACCAAATAGAATTAGAAGACAGAGAAACCTCCAGACATCCTTCAAGAAAATATTTATGAAGCTTGAGTAAAATCTGAATTTTCCCCTATAAAAGGAAGGCAGAGACTAGCTCACTAGCCAGAATCCCAGCTCCTTTAGAAAGAAAGGTTGTAAATCCCATTCAGCGTCATCAAAATCAGACACCTCAATAACCCATCACGGCACAATGATGTGAGGTCCAGCCAGAGTTATTAGGTCCTCTAAAGCTCAAGTAGTTTCATCGGATT